CTTGAACTTTGACAAGTTTGAAACGAGGTCTGACAATAGTAGTTTTATCTTCTTGCTTGCAGTGTGTACATTTTGCCATGTTTGCCTAAAACTTCATAATATTTCTTGTATACTTTCTTCTATTTTTACGAACACGAATGTGAGTACCTGTCGAGTTCCCATTGTTGTCATAGTCAATATGTATTTTCATATGGTCGCGTTTAGGTATTTCTATTTTACTTGTCACCTTTCTGAAGTTTGAAGCCCGGCATTCTTTCTTGTTTGTCTCTTTTGACTAAATTATTAAATATATAGTCTTTCTCTAAGTCAGGGTTGTTTTTCATTTCTTCGGGGTGGTTTCCCAAACCTTTTTGTTTACGGTTATTGTAAATATTTAAAACTTGTCTCATCTTTGCCATGGAGAAGTGTCTATACTTGTCGTCATATGACATTTCATTTGCTTCACCACCTTGTGGTTGGTTTAAGTCTCTTAACATTTTTATACAACCGTCAATGACACCAAGAGCAGAATGGTTTTTGGTCGACAATGAAATATTGGTTTACATTTTTGAACGCAGATAGTTTTTTACATCATCTGATTTGAAAGAACTTTCACAGTCAGATGTCAGTTTTGTTGGATGGTATTTGTCAACGAATATTGTCAAAGCAGTTTTCACATCTAAAATATTTTTTGGACCATAATGGTATGGTTTCACAGTATCTTGTGTTTTGACCAACAAATATTAACCAGTATGGTGGTCCATCTTCTCTATACCTCGGAATGTTTCAAGATATCCATAAACCAAGCATTTGGTGTTGAACTAAAGATTTTTATCATGAGTGCTTTCTTTGTCGCTTTAGAAACATAGGAGTCCTTGTTCGGATTCGTAATTTTTTACCCTATAAGAAATGGGTTTATTTGGCGCATTAGCAGGAGTCGCATCTAGATTTTTACCCGCAGTGGGAACAATAGCCAGAGGTGCATTTGGAATTGGAAGGAAGATTTTGAGTACATTAGGTATACTGAAAGAGAAAGCACAACCTATTATACAAACTGTACAGAAAGGTTGGGATGTAGCACGAGATGCAACAAATCTTATTCCAAATCCTGAAACAAGAGGAAAAGTTCAAGGATGAATGGACAATGTAGGAAGACAAGCAGGAAACTATTATAACAAAGCAAATGACTATTATAACCAAGCAGGACACTATATGGACCAAGGTGAAAGATTCTTTAACAGAGGATATAACCATGCACAACAATGGGTAAGCAATAACCAACCGCAACCACCTCAAACGTGGGGAATGTAAATTTTTTTATTGAGATGAAATGAACAATGCAGCATTGAGACAAATGAGTTCAAGATGGATTTGTCGGCTTCCAGCATTTAAACCGATACCATATAGTCAGGCTCAGCATGTGAAACTGAATGATATTATTAAAGGAACCATCCCACCTCCACAACAACAACCAGTTGAAAACAAACCAAACTAAAATTTTTTACTGAGATGAAATGACCGAAGAAGTTGAAACGGTAGATTTGACACCACAAACAAAAAGTTCAGAACCATTGTCAAAACCTGTCAAAGAACTTACAGATGAAGAGAAAAATTCAATAATAGAAAGTGCCAGGTCTGGAAATACAAACCCTAACTATAAAGTCACTTTTCATAGAAATAGAACGGCTAGTATCTCAAAAAAGAAACAGACTCTCACAAATAAAATATTGAAGTCTGAAGGAGCTTTCGAGACAACAGATGGAAAAGTTTACTTCACTGACCAACAGTTCATTATAGAACATCTCATTGACTTAGAGTCGAAATATTCTAAACTTTACAACAAACACAAAAAGTTGAAAGGAAAACAAAAACAAATGGCATATGATATTTATGAAGATGTTGACGACACAACTGTTCCTGCAAGTGAAGTAAAGTCAGAGGAACCGAAAATTGACGAAAAACCGATAGAAGAAGAAAAACCAAAAACTAAAGATAAACCAAAACCAAAGTTTAGTTTCCAAACTAAACCAAGTCAACCTTCATTAGCTGGTATGGGTTGGCGTCAAAGACTTATGGCAGCAGGCGGTTATGTAAAGTAAAGAAAAAAATATTTTTTCATTTTTATAAAAATGCTCCCATATAGAATGGATAGAAAGTCTGCTAGAATAAAAGCAGAGTTGCAAAGATATGGTTGGAGAGTTTCGAAGAAGTTTAAATATAAGAAAGGAAGACCCATAAAAGTCTATGACAAATTGTCTGGTCTTCGCTACGAAATGGATTTGGAAACAGCACGTGCCAATTATCCAAACAGACTAGAGAGGTTAGAAGAAGAACGTCTTATGGACATGCCTTTCGATGTTAGTGAACCTCAAGTTGAAGGACACGACGGCTTTGCCAGATTCTACTGGAAACATGACGAACAATTGCATCCTTTGAGAAGGAAAAAAGGAAAAGGTGAAGACGCACATGCTCCATGGAAAGAACAAGATATGCATATGAAAAGTATCGTGAAGTTAGAAGTCAAATTACATCTGGTCAACCTTTACAGTAAACTTTGACGAAGGAAAGAACAAAGAAGGCTTCATGGGAGTACTTGCTGCAATTCAAGACGGAAATAAGAAAGGACACAATCTCAGATTGACCATAACATATTTGGATGGTCACATTTACTATGCACATGGCAATGAACAAACAGCCGCAAAACTTCTTGACGCTTTCAAGACTACAAAGAGAGAACAAATGGTTGACTCCGACTCAGACATTTTGAATGCAATTGAAGGAATTGCTCTTATATACGAAAAAAAGAGATCTGACATTGTGTCAGATCTCAGTAAAAGTGACATTTACATGTCAAAAAAATAGAATGAGTTTAAGTAATTAAAATTGAGGGTGAGAGTAGTATTGTATGAAATAATATCTCTCACCCTCCAATTCATCCTATGGCGCCGAAAAAATTTTGGTGAAATGCGACCACATTTCACCAAAATTTCTCGGCGCCATATAGAGAACTAGAGCCTGTGAGGTACTGATACTATCCATGTACCTCGCAGGCTCTAGTTCCAAGCCAAAATGGCTAAAAATTGCCCGCAATTGTTCACATTGCGGGCAATTTTTAGCCATTTTGGCTGGGAATTGGAGGGTGAGAGTAGTATTGTATGAAATAATATCTCTCACCCTCCAATTCATCCTATGGCGCCGAAAAAATTTTGGTGAAATGCGACCACATTTCACCAAAATTTCTCGGCGCCATATAGAGAACTAGAGCCTGTGAGGTACTGATATACTCCATGTACCTCGCAGCTCTAGTTCCAAGCCAAAATGGCTAAAAATTGCCCGCAATTGTTCACATTCCCATCTTTTGTTGGTAAGACGAAGAATATGAAATAAATTATGAAGAAGATAATGATGAATAAAATATCACTTTTTATATTTTTGACACGTAAAGTTGTCACTTTTCTGTCAAACTGTTTTTATCGTTTTCGTATATAACATTGCAAGTGTCAAGTTCGAATGGTACCAACCTAACCCTCAAGCAGTCAGACAACATGCTGGATACTTCCCGTTCAAAAATAAGTCTGACATTGACTTGACAAGGTATGGAATTTACAATTCAATTGAAACAATTGTCAATGAACCTTGTATTCTTACATGTCTCAGGAACTCTGGTCTTGTTACAGATGAGAAGATGAAGTATCTTGAGTCATGTGTGAAGACAAGGTACATTCTCAGAGGTCAATTGGCAAAAATTGCACCATTGGCAAATGTCAATATCCGAGTCAACATACCTACAGCTAAAGGTTCTTCACATGACGACTATGTTGTTGACAAAGACTTACCATGGTTGAAGATTGTAATTGTCCACAACCACTTCATGTTGAACGAAAGTCTTACAAACCCATTCTTTGGTAAAAGTAAGTGCAACATTGTCAGAGCTGTAAACATTCTTTTCGAGAAAGGTTTGTTGGAACCAATTCCAGATGACAAGCTGACAGAAACTTTTGTACCAAAAGACGAAACAAACTTTTCATTGTTAGCAAGACCAAAAGTTGTTCCAGACAAAGTTCTAGTACAAAAGAAGTACACAGTTCCACAAGGGTTGGTATGTTCGGATACCAACCTGAACCAGAAGAACTTCCAATGAGGTTGCAAGAACTTCAAGATGCTATAAACAAACTTCCATTGAGACATCCAATTGACGTCAAATTGTATTGGAGAGCATCTGAGTTAGGTCAGAAGGTTTTATATGAAACAGGTTGCTTCGACGATGTTTATGAGATAACAGGAGAAGTTTCTCAGAAGATAAGAGACTCACTTGAATTTCCACAAACTGGACCAATTGGTTGCGACAAGTTCGACTCAGATGAAAAGATATACTATGTCGACCTTAACGCTGCATACATGAGGTTTGTCCAATATATTCCGACTGGAATTCCAAACGAAGATGGTGAGTTCCCGGGAAGGAACTATACAGTTGGAAAAGTCATACAACAACTGTATGATATTAGGAAAGCTTCAAACCCCAAACTTGCAATGACACTCAAATTGCTTATGAATTCGACATGGGGATATTCCATTAAGAAACCTCAAGAGATGAAGAGTAAACATTATGAGAAGGTCGACAACTTTGTTGAAAGGTTTTCTCCTTTTGTTTTGAAGTACGAATTCACTCAAGGTCAAAGTGGCTTAGTAACCACATTAAAACCTATTGTCGAACATTGGTCTTACCCTCAGTTCGCAAAGGCAGTCCTTGACAACTACAACAAATTCTTCTCCGAAGTCAAATCCAAAGTCAAGGTTTACTATGAGAACATTGACGCACTCATGACGAACGAAGAAGGATACAACAAACTCATTGAAATGGGAATGGTCGGTGAAAAGATGGGTCAATTCAAATTGGACAAAATTTTCACCGAAGTTCATGTCCTCTCCAAGCGTAAGTACTGGGTGTTAAAGAAGATGGTGAAATAGTTAAACATTGCATGAAATAAAAAATTTATTTTTAAAAAGTGACATTTTTTTTAATGGCGTACATCCCTGAGCGCTTCGTCCAGTTCAACCAAATGTTGGTCTCGGACCCAGGCAAGAGATATTCCAAGCCTGAACTCGACCGTCTCTTCAAAGAATGGATTGAAGACTACAGAGGAGACGAGTGGTTGACAATTGAATTTGCTCGGGCTTGGAATTGCTACAGAAGGGTCTTAGACGTGGACCCAAGACTCACGTACAGAGGTTGGGATGTGGTCTTCACATTCCAAAATTGGTACGAATACCAAAAATAAAAACTTAAATTTACTTGGGGTTTCCCCCTAAAATAAATTTTTTTTACTCTTAGAACCACTCGAGGTTCTCCTTACGGTTGTTGAGCTTGTCACCGTCAATGTGTCTGACCTTCGTCTTCTTGTCTGGATTTGGAACCCATTGAATTGCGACAAGCTTGCCCATGGAGATTGAACCGCGATTCCGAAGGTTAAGGTTCAAGTGTCCCAAGTTGTTGAGGACTGGGGTAAGAACCTTGCCTGTCTCCTTGTTGCGGATTTGGTATGGGTAGGGTTGGGAAATTTCGTAACCGTCATCGGCAACAAGGGTTGCCCATGTAGCGGCTTCAGGAACTTCTTCGTGTTTCTCTTCTTCCTCTTCTTCCTCGACAATTCCTTCTTCAATTTGGTACTCACGAAGTACGGTGTTGCATGTTCTGTCCTTTCCGAGTACCTTCCAGATGGCGTCTATCTCTTCGAAGAAACGGTAGATGAGTCTGGCAAGGTCTCGGTTCTCTCTCTCGTAATTGCGCAAGGTTTCCGCGAAATCGTTCAGGCATTTCTCATTGGAAGCTTGGTTCATGAGGACATCGGCTTTAAGTTCCTTCATCTCTGTCATAAGACTACTTTGGAGAGTCTTAATGGTGTTTGTCAGATGAGCTTTCAATTGGGCAATTTGAATTTGAATTGGGCGCTTGTCTGGCAACCTTGAAAGGACATCTGCCATTGTGTTCGGCTTCGGTGCTTGTTCGGACATCGAAAAAATGAAGTGGTTTGAGAATGACGGTTTTACTTCAAAAAGCTGGTTATGACAGTTAAGTCATACAATAAGTTTAAAATAATATCTTGCTCTTCTTCTGAACGTTTGTTGTCTCTTCCGATAAAAGTTTCGAACATGAGAACCAAAAAAACGTTTTTTGAGGAACCGAAAGAGTTCTGGCAAATTTTCATATTCTGGATATGTTGGGAGCAGTTCAAAACATCTGAGCTGACTTTCGGACAAAATTGGGACAATGTCAGAAAATTCATCTTTGGTCGGACTGCTTGAAGGTAAGTCCCTTACATGTAAGTAGCTCTGGTAAAGTCTTCTCATCTCTGCTAACTTCTGGAGTATAGCTTCGTAATTTAAGAGTTTTAATTTTAATTGTCTTATTCCTCTCTTGACATCTAAACGGTAAGTATCCATGAGGTCAAGAGTAGCTTTGGTAGCTTTAAGTGGAGCTATCTGTTCCTTGACTTCTGCAATTTTGGTTGCAATTGTGGTTTGAGCTCCTTCAAGTTCGCCGTCTATGTCGTTCTCAACACCTTCAACCATAGCTTGAAACTCTTCATCGGTCCATTGAGATTGGTGTGGGACGAATTTAACTTGCTTCATTCAAAAAATGAAAAAAAGTTTTTACTCTAAACGTGCCATGTATATGGCTATAAGAAACTTACCAGAAGGCTTCTTCTTCACATGAGTCTTTGGCAACTTGAGAGTTCTTGTTGGAGTTGGGTCTGGAATTTCAATTCTCTCTCGAGCGCGCATTCCCCACTGTCCTTCTTGCCACCATAAACTGTGTATTGACCGAACTTGCATTTGCAGGAAGACCGGTCACTACAAGGTTCACAGTTGAAATAGTTGTACTCATACCTGGTGAGTACGAGTGTGAGTAAAAACATAAAAAGTGAGTTAAAATGAGATGTTTACTGAACTGGCTGAATGTCGCCTTCACAGGTTATGTAGAACGGCTGACCAGAGAAGTGAAGGAGAGACTGAATTGCCAATTTCATATGGGGTAGGGGGTTCTCCTTGTTTGGTATTTTTATCCAAGGACGTTTGTTTAGGAACTTAACAAGAGCTTCTCTTTTGGCGTCCTTTATGCCATCGTAGGCTGTCCCGTCTGGTATTTGAATTGGAATTCCAGTCGAAGTCTCGAGCTGAAGTGTAGACCTTCCAGAAATAGTGATGAACTTGACCTTGGGCTTCATTACCTTGCGCAAGTAGTCTTTTACGCAGTCGTTAATTTCAATTAGGTAAATTGCCTCGTCAAGTCTTTCTTGCATTCCAAGTTCTTCCATCCGACAGGAAAATATTTTCCCGACAAAGGGAAAAATTTTTCCTTCCGACAGGAAAATATTTTCCCGACAAAGGGAAAAATTTTTCCTGTCGGATGGAAGAACTCTTCCAGTTGTCCGTCCGTAAACCATTCAAATTTTCGAAAATTGAGAACTTTTTGGTCGAACTTCAGAAAAAGTTTTTCCTTCCGACAGGAAAAATTTTCCTTCCGACAGGACACAAACGGATGACTGACGTTCCTCTTCCTGAATGCCTTCCAAAGCCAGAAGAACCGAAAGCTGCAGAACCACAAACAGTCTCCTCAGCAACCTCAGTTCCAGCAAGTACCTCCGAATTACTACCAATTTCCACCTCAAGGTTACTACCCACCACAAGGCTTCCCGAACTACCCTCCTCAGCCTATGCCTACTTCCCCAACCCTTGGTTGTTCCAGCAAGCTCCACCCAGCAATTCCAATTCCAATCTCAATCGAAGAGAGACCAAGACTTCGAAGAAGGTCTGAACCGCTTACGCAAAGAGTATGCTACAGCTCCAATGGAAGACGACAGGCTTTCAGTCTCTTCCCTCAAATCGACCGATTCGACTCGTACCACAGATTCGGTTCGTGACCGTGAAGACTACCTCAAGCAGTCTGAGAGACTCTTCATCCTACAACCATTTACAGTTGGAGCTCTCAAGAACATGCGCAATTACGAAGGTCAGACACCAGCTGGAGACCGCAAAACAGACGTACTCGCAAGAGCCGTCCAGCTCGTCAAAACAAAGACGGAGATAGTCGACTTCATACTTGCAGCTTGCCCTTACAAGTAAAAAAATAAACAATTACGAATTAAACTTTTTACTCTTTCTTTTCTGAGTTGTTTAGAGCTGGTTTCTCTTGTAGAAACCTTTCGTACTCTTCCATGGTCATGTAATTGCGAATTTGGTACGCAATTCCAGGTTCGTTGTTTTTGAACCTGATGTATGTAACGCTTCCATCCTCCTCAGGGAAGTAAGCTGCTAACATCTGACCAAGTTTTCTCGGTGACTCGGAGCTCATAAAAATGTCACTTTTTAAACGTTAAGTTTTTAGTCTTAATTTACCCTTTGTTTGTCAAGGTAGTATTGGAGTGCAATTTCTCCAAATTCTCTGTGTCGGAGTTCTTCAGCATTTTCCAAGGTGTACCTGGAGAACTCAAAGAAGTTGTCAAGAACATACTGCCATGCTGCTCTTCTGAGTTCGTCGGTATTTTGGAAGTGTTGCACCTTCGAGTCTTCGGACATGAAAAAATGACACTTTTTCTATTAAACCGTTTTGGCATTTCTCATGAGTGAGTATAGTTCTGCCGAACCATTGGAAGAGAAGAAGTACCCTTGCTGGCAAAAGACAAAAATAGTTGCCTTAGTTGTCATTGCAATTGTACTCGTAATTGAATTCATTGTACTTCTCTTCACGTACATAAAACTCAGCAATGGTATTTGCTTTAAGAAGCTACCATCTTACTAAGACTAAACACTTAGATTTTTCAAGCTTGACTTTTTACAATTTGAACTTTGTTTGCGTAGATATGAATTCTGAAAGAAGTATGAGGGTCTTGTATGACTTTGTACTTCTCCCATAGTTCATGTCTGTCAAACTTACCTGCCATGGACTCTTTCATAAGTTCCATGAAATCGTCTTCGGACAATCCGGGGAAAAGTATTATGTCAGTAAGTATTCTTTTAACATCCTTACTTAAACTCTTTGCTGTCTGTACACAAATGACAACTGAGATGTTAAAGTGTCTGAGCTTCTTAAGAATTCGACACATATCTTGTTCTCTATTCTTTAACAAAGGATGAGAGGCGAAATCATCTAAGATAAGAAGACATCTATGAGGGTAAGTCTTCCAATCGTAAGATTGCAATTTCTTCGAAATGTATTCTATCTCTTTCTGTTTGTTTCTGAAGTGTTTTCTAATATTCTCTGCATTTCCTCATTAGGTCTTTAAACTTAGAATTTATATACTCATTTATAGCATTATACTTCAAAACTCTTCTTTGGTACTTCTTTATCCAATCTAACAACTCAGTATCTTTATACATACTAACTTAGACTTCTTTATAATATCTTTGAACGAATTGACGGTTTGGTCAAATTGACCAGAAGTACTACAAATAACAACTAACTCATAGAATGGGTTCTTCTCATCTAGTTCTTGTTGTTGTGCAGCCATTTTAAGATAAGTGAAAGTCTTACCAGACCCAGGTGGTGCAATTAGACCTGTTATACCATTCTGAGCAAATAAGAACTTGTCATGTATAGGCTTTATCTGAGCATTTTCTAACTTCCTCTTGTTCTTGTTTAAAACATTCTCAAATTTTTTGTCAATGTCAGCAAACTTTTTTCTAACATATTTTTAGAAAAATTAAAATTTTTATCTTTTAGAAAATGTCTAGCGATTTCGCTATCTATATTCGAACAAGCTTTTTGACAGCAAAACATCTGTCGACCAAAAATCTTACATAGTGTAAACAAGAAAGGTGAATTTGTTCTAAAGTTCTGTTTCTATGACAAGAACCATAAAACATTACAAAGAGCAGTCTTAAAATTTGTCAATGAAGAGACTTGTTGACAGAGATGACGCGATTTGGAAAGATGAAGTCCAACAAAAGTTCTTAGAATGCAAAGAAGACACATGCGGTGTTCTTGAAGATGAAATAGAAAACAGAATAGATGAGCTATTAAAGGACAAAGAACTTTTACATAGATATGGTTCTGACGTCTCACCACCAGAAAAAAGAAGAAGAAAGAAAAGAAAGCGAAAAAGAAGAAGAGAAGAAAGAACCTGAACCAGTTCCAGAGAAAAAGAAATTTGACATGTAAAATAAAATTTTATTTTTAGAACATTTCTGGGTCAATGTCAATGTTCTCTTCCTCTTTAGAGTAAACACTGGCTTAGACTCTAAAATTTTTACTCAATTTACCTTGAACTTCTACAACTTT